ACCATATCTTGTGTTTCTTTTTAATGCACACGTTAACACAGGCACGGGCAAGCCTGGGCCCTCCCTCCGGGTGCTTTGGACTTCAACTCCCACTATTCTGCCCTTCTCACCCCGCAGGGGACTCAGGGCGGATTACAGTGTACACATATATGGCAAACATTCAATGCCAATTTTGACATACAACGTATACAGACATACACAGAGGCTATTTAACTTTTTCTGGCCGCCAGGGGAACTGTCGCTTTCATCGTCCATCTGCGACACTGATGAAGTACTTCCGCATTCCCCGCATGCTTTTGCTGGAGTCTTTTTTTATGGCCTCCTAAATTAGTTAATTTAGCCTCCCCACACAAGGTGGTACCTAATTTTCCTACTTGACAGATGCAACTGTCTTTCGGGTTGCAAAGGTCGACAACAGGCTACACAATTGGTTGGAAGCCCACTCCAACCTGGGCTGGCTTTGAACTCATTACCTTTTGGTCAGAGTGATCTTAATGCAGCTGACACTCAGCCAGCTGCACCACAATTGCGGTAGACCAAGTTCTACCCTTTGAATCAACAGAGGGCAAGGTGACACCCTCCTTTCTGTGACATACTTTAAGCTATTTGAAGTGAGGTCAGGTCATTCCTCCTTCACAAGGCTGAACATGTCCAGTTCTTTCAACTTCTCCAGTGTTTCACCATCTTTGTTAGTCTTATCTGAACTCATTTCAATTTATTCATATTCTTCCTAAAGTGAGGTGTGAGAACTGAAAGTTGTATTCCGGATGAGGCCTGATCAATGTAGAATATAGGGGGAATATCGTATCTCTTGATTTGGAAACGATGCTTCTATTAATGCAGACTAAGTCTTTGCCCCTTTTTTGCTGCCATTCATATTGCTGGTTCATGTTCCAACAGGTGATCAACAATAATTCCAAGGTCATTTTGACATTTTACTGAAGCAAGTAGTCCACATACTATATTTGTGCGTTTAGTTTTTGTAGCCTAAATGTAGAATTTTGCGCTGGTCTCTGTTGAATTTCATTCTATTAATTTCAGTCCTTTTCTAGTTTATCAAGATCCTTTTGAATTTTGTTCCTAATCTTCCAATCTATTAGCTACCTCTCCCAGTTTTATTTCATTTGCAAATTTCACTGCATCACCTAAACCAGTGTTCCTCAAACTGTGCTCCTCCGGGTGTTTTGGATTTCAGCTCCCAGAAGTTCACTTTACCAGCTGTTAGGAATGGTGGGAGATTAAGTCCAAAACATCTGGAGGAGTAGTTTGAGAAACTGATCTAAACTATTGATAAAAATATTGAAGAGCATCAGCCCCAGAACAAAGGCATTTCACTTGTGATTTCTTTCCAATTTGATGCACAGACATTCATGACAACTCCGAGCTCAAGTTATTAAACTTCCACTAGATGGTTCCTTCTGACGGTGTTTCCATCTATTTTATATTTAGTCAATATGGTGACCAAAATATCACGGGAGCCTTATCAAATGCTCTACTGAAAATCCAGATAACTAAATTTTACAGGATTCACACCATCTGCTGAACTAGTAAACAAAAGATTAATTTGAAGATTTTCTCATGTAAAGGCCACACTGGCTCCTACTAAGCACTACACTGTCATCATGGTATTTGCCATTACCTGTACTTGTCTGGTCCAGGCAAAAGTATATTGTGCCCATTATTTATTTTATTTATCATGTCAGGAGAGAACCAAACAGCTGTATTGCATTAAAAAAAAACCAAAACACAAAGTTTGCAAACTTGGTAGTTGATTAAATTAAATTAAATTGTGCCCATAATACACCACTATACTCAGAATTCAGTCAGGTCTCATTTTTCCCCTCATTATAGCTTAATTGGAAAATAGAAGACTAACCCTTTTGTATAGGAAAAGTAGTCTGTAGTGTCACATGTTAGCTGCCCTAAATACACTGACATGAATGATGAATAGCAGTATACATTTGCAAGATTGAAGGAACTGTTAATCCACTCCTTACATCAGGCTTCAAAAGCTAGTAGGTGGGATCTTCAGTTGCTTCAGCCATTTAACCTGCAACACCCTGACTTGTGTAATATTCTTGGCAAAACCACACATTCTAAAATGGGTCATTGTTTCAGAGAATGTCTGACACTCGCTGTTTCTACAACGCGCTGGGTAGTTTGTATGGATAGGAAGGAGGCAAAGGTTTCTATATAGAACAAAAGGACATGTTAGTGTAGATTGTGAATACGGTCATCCCTCCACATTTGTGGTTTTGAATTTTATGTGTTTTAATGACGGAGAGTTTTGTCTGATGGGTTTTGATATGACCTGTGAATAAGTCAAGGGTCATTCCATGGAGAGGGAAAGGCAGCCACCATCACTGTTGCCATTTTTGCACCCAGCCATTCAAAAAGGCGTTTCATTTCTTTGATCAGAGAAGGGGATGGTTCCTTTTTATATAAAAGTTGAGATACAGTATTAATCCTTATAAATAGGAACAATCCCTTTCTCTGAGTAGACTGGCAAAAAGCAAGAGCTTAGTCCATTCTGAGAGAATCTAAAAGAAGCACTAACCCCTTCAACTCTTTTGGCACTTGAGGGGAAGCACCAATGGATTATCACTGCTGCCACCATTCATCTGCCAATACTTTCAAAAAAGCCAGAGATGATGTCACGACAGAGAGAGATTCAGTGCTTCATCCCAAGTTCTCCTGGTATGAAGTGAGTTGTTGCCTTTTGACACAACACTCAAAGAAGAGGACAGTTTCTACATGGATCTGTGGGTAGCTTGACCCATTTGTTTTTTTACTAAAATCTCTAGACTTATACAGGAGTATAAGTGGCACAATGGGTTAAACTGCTGAGCTTCTGAACTTGCTGACCGGAAGGTCGGTGGTTTGAATCCGTGGGATGAGGTGAGCTCCCACTGTTAGCCCCAGTTTCTGCCAACCTAGCAGTTTGAAAACATGAGATCAATAGGTACCACTTTAGCAGGAAGGTAAACAGTGCTCCATGCAGTCATGCCAGCCACATGACCTACAAGTGTCTACAGACAACACAGGCTCTTCGTCTAAGAAATGGAAATGAGCACCACCCCAGAGCCTGAGATGAAAGGGGAAGCCTTTACCTATATCTGTGTAGCTGTGTGTCATTGTTTCTAGGTACTGAGTATTTGCCTTTGTGTTTGAATATGCTGGAATCCACTCTGAGTCCCCTCGGGGAGATAGGACAGAATACAAATAAAGTACAGGGTTAGTCAAAATGAATAGGCCAATAAGAAAATTAATTTTAGACAAATGTATGTTTACTGTAACCAAACCACAGCTACGTAGCGACAGATAAACTATCAAAGTTTTGTCTCACCTTCAGAGATGTTCGATATGGGCGCCCCGTGTGACACGGCAGATGTCCAAGCGATAGTCCAGTTCATTCCACATCCGTTGCAGCACATCCGACGTAATGGCATCGAATGCAGCAACGTCTGGGAAGGTGTTCGTTGAGGTCCTAACTCTAACCCTAACCCTAACCCTAACCCTATCCCTAACCCTAACCCTAACCCTAACCCTAACCCTAACCCTAACCCTATCCCTAATCCTAACCCTAACCCTAACCCTAACCCTTGAAATTCTCGCTGGACCGTAATTACTGACATTGTTTTAGCAAATGTCATCACACAAAACGCCTTCTCTTTGCTTGATTCCGCCATTTTGAAAACAGCGACCCCTAGCGACGCCTAGCGGCATTAATGTACATGTGTGTTGCTCAAAAAAAACTTTGATAGTTTATCTGTCGCTACGTAGCTGTGGTTTGGTTACAGTAAACATACATTCGTCTAAAATTAATTTTCTTATTGGCCTATTCATTTTGACTAACCCTGTATTATTATTTGAAACATAACAAGATTAGTACATAACAAACAAGATCACTATGCTGGTTGTTGTATTGGATCACATGTCGGACACTTTCCAAGTGTCTAGGACTATGTGATTATCGGCAAAGTATTATTGTTATTATTACTACCACCACCACTACTACTACTACTACAAGTTCCATCTTGTCTCCTGCATATGTCATCAGTTGGGGGGCCCTCCCCCCAGCATCATCTGCTGCTCTGGACCAGAGTGAAGAGAGAGGGAGCCAGAAGACAGTTCCACCTTGTCTCCTGTGCTATGCTAATAATATAATACAATATATTGTATATACATATATTTATATTATAATGTAATACAATACAATACTATTACTAATTTTATATATATATATATATATATATATATATATATATATATATATATATATATAACATGTAATATTACTAATATTACTACAATATAATGGTATAGTACAATATAGTAATATATAATACTGATATTACACTATGCTAATAATATAATATATTGGGTGTATATCTTGTTGCTCTGAGTACCCTTCGGGGTGAGAAGGGCGGCATATAAATATCGTAAATAAATAAATGAATAAATAATAATAATAATAATAATATAAAATAAGGCTTTTCTGATACAGTTTAAGCTGTGCAAAAACCAAAACAGACAAATCAATACACAAAACAATCACTCTAAACAGAAGGCATTCATGTATGTAACATACAATAAAACATAAAGCCCTAGTATAGGCCTTCTGTTTCGGTGACCTTCAAGAGGTTATTGGACTAGACCAGTGATTTGGCATGATGAGAGTTGCTGTCCAGCAAAATCTGGGTGATTACAAATTTCTTAATAAAAACGGGCAAAGTAAGAGCTACATGGTTATGAATTCTGATGTATTACCTCCTGGCCCTGACACTCCCCCTCAAATCAGTAAACTCATTTGGTTATCTTTTCACCTTGCCTAAAGTGCCTCTGTCTGCTAAAGGTATTAATATTAACAAAAGGTATCAAATAGCCCCTGAGTAAGCCAGATAATATAATTTCCCAAAAGGCTTGGGCATGCCATCACACAAGTGATACCAGAGAAAAGGCTCTACAGCAGAATAATATTGTTTAGTGTGAATGATTTATTGATGCAAGTATTTCTGAAATGTTCATTGTAACAGTGTTTCTTGAACTTCAATGATAAAACAGTCAATATAATTTTTTATTCAGATATATTTTAATTAACTGTTTTTTTTTAATACGTTTAAGATTTAACTTGGTTTTAACAGAAAGAAAAAAGGGAGCGGGGAGAACACAACTAAGTATTCTTCAGCATCTAGAATAAGAATGGCCAAAGAAAGATTTAACAAAGAGTATTAAAAAAAACATATTGTAAGTGCTTGGGGGTTCATCTTGACAACCAGAAAGCGTGATGAAGCACAACATTCTTCAAATAAACTTTTCATTTTAATTCAAAAAGGAAGTGTGTCTCTTCTACCGATGTAATTGACACATAGGCCAGAGTGACAATCACTAACCAAACTCCATTAGCCAACATTTTATTGAATACAGTAAAGAAATGAATGGAGTCTGGGCATTTTTAAATTGAGAATAATCAAAATCACCACCAATGTGTTAATTTTTGTTATTAGATTATTACCATGCATTGCCAACTAGGCGAGGGTTAGGCATCCAGTTGCCCTTACGAATCCTTCCAGACAATTCTCACAATTCCTGACCACTGACCATACTGGCTAGTACATACGGCAACTGCAGTCCAACACAGCTGGAGGGCATTGGGTTAGTTAAACTCTACAAGAATTTAAATACTGACATGACATGAAAGAGGATGTGGCAAAGACCAGTAATGTTTGCTACACGTCACAAGTTATGACAGCATTTTAGTCAGGGAACAGATTGAAGAATTACTTCTTCATTAAGGCCCCTTCTACAATGCCATATAATCCAGATTATTAATCAGATTATATTAGTCTACACTGCCAGATAATCCACTTCAAAGCAGATAATCTGCATTTTATATGGCAGTGTAGAAGGAGCAACACTTCAATCTGTTTCCTGAATAAAATGTCATCTAGAGAGATATCATCTCTCATCATCATCACCCATACCATCTCTCTACACATGTTTGTAGAACACAGATAATCACTTCACTATCAGTGGTGGAGTAACTTGCTTCCTACTGTGTCAAAAAGGATCACAGGTATCAGAGGAATAGGTCAGAGACTGCATAAAATAGAACTATTTGATTACATGTCAAATGATTCCATCTCACTTTGGGTGTCTTTCAAATGTTCTCCAAGTTGTGTGAATAACTCCTACATGGAAGAACATTTAAGAAATCTCAAATGCATAGGCTGATCCCAATAGTTCAATTCATCATATGCTTTCCAGGAGATGAGAGCCAATGCTATCGGAAAGGACTACACAAAGGATGTTACTCTCTTCAACATTATCTACCAAACAGGATCTACTTACATGGCAGTTGTCACTCCCTGGCCAGCCCTCAATGTACATGACTGAAACTTCAGGGAGGGTTTCAGTATCTTTTTCCTATCTGAAAGTAATATATCAAGATCACTGATCTATTAGTATTACAGATGCTATCTGAAAGTCTTTTGTTCAGATAACAAATTGTGAAAAAATGTTATCACAAAGAAAAGGATTTGGGTGAAAAGATTTGGTAGTGGAGGCAACAAAACTTGACTAAATATACAATTACTGATCTTGTTTAAAGGCACAAGACAGAATTCAAATGGAACAAAGGAATGCGGGAAGAACTGTGCATTACAATAGCTTGGTGATTTTAGTGGTTAAACAAGTCCAACAGTAATACTGACCACTCCATCACACCAAAGTATGTACCCTGAAGCCTCAAAGGGATTTAGTATTTTCTGTCAACTATCAATTTGTCCTACTTGTCATCTTTTTTTTGTAAAAGATCTGTCCAACTCATTCATTTTTTTTCTTAAGGGAAGCTGCTGACTTGTTCGAAGAAACAAGCAAACCCAAAACACTAAAATAAAAACTGTGAATTATCACAACTACTTTAAGTAATAACTCAGAACTGATCCCAAAGATGACTGGATAGCCACTGGAAAGGACAGTTCCTGTCACGGTCTTCAGTTGCCAGCACCTGCAATTAAATTTAAATCAAGCAATTAGAGACCTCAAAATAGAAACCACGATCATGCATGTGCAAAAAGTGTCAGACCGAACAGTTCTCTGTCTACTAACATAGATGTCATTATCTTGAGACACCACCAGCAACTGTTTACAAAGTTAGCTTGCTCCCAGGAACATGAAGGATAAAAATGGTTCTGAAAATTAAAAAAAAAAACTAGTTCTGCAAACAGAGTTGATGTTGCCATTGTTAAATTTCAAAGGCCAACATGGTGAATATACAGAATTTGATTTAAATTATCACTATCCAACCCTGTAACACAGGCCTACTGTCATGCATCAGTGTCCTTTTTAAGACTAAAATACTTCCAATGTATGAAAAGGCATATGATCTGCATGCTTAATTTAAAAAAATACATGAGGTGTCTCTCAAGAAGTCATGTTTAGCAGAAGGTAATTAACTCTGTACATTTGCTACTTACGGATAATTTATAGCTGTTCCCCATCACTGAAGCATCCCATGCTCTAAACCCTGTTGAATCATCATGTTAAGCAACAGGCCAGTAAATTAATTAGCAGCTCACCAAGACTTGTAATAACATACTTGCTTATGGATATTGCTCATGGCCAAAACAAAAGGTCTTTGAAAAGCATTCTTCCTTAACAGCTGCTTATTTTCCTGCTTCTTGGCAGGAGGTTGGACAGTATGGCCCACGAGGTGTCTTCCAACTCTATGATTCTATTACTACTATTATGTTTATTTATATCTCACTTTTCTCCCAGGAGGGACTCAAACTAATGATAATTTAAAATAAAGCAAATATAAAAATTGAAACACAAATATCAGTGTGGATCTAAAGTTAAAATACAGTTAAATATAATAGATACAATTAAAATTGCAATTAAAACTCACAATCTCCCCAGAATCATACCCACAACCTCCTTAACAGTGTGCCCCTCATCCTCCCCTAAATGCCTTATGATAAAGAAATGTCTTTGGCTGCTTATAGAAGGCAAGCAGAAACAAGGCTATTCTGGTATCTCTTGGGAGGGAGTTCTAGAGTCTGGGAGCCGCCACTGAAAAGGTCTTTCCTTTGTTCCCACCGAACATACTTGAATAGGTGGTGGGACAGAGAGAAGGCCCTCCCCAGATTGATAGTAGATATTGGATAGGTTCGTAAAGAAAGATACAGTCCTTCAAATAACCTGGACCTGGGTACAGTTTGTAAAGAGCTCCAAATGGTATACTGAAACCTGTTTTGTTATACCCTACTGATTGCAGCAAGAGAGATCACTTGCCTTCATTGAAAAATGCAATGCACCTGCCTGTGGATTCTTTCTTTCACAACATCTAGATGGCACCAGGTAGAGGAGAGTTGCATCAAAGCAAGCACTGCTTCTGTACTGCATGTGTTTGTAGCAGGAGTGGTAGATGCTAAAGGACATGAGGATTGCCTAAAGCTACTTAGTACGATCATCAAACCAAAATGGTTACTATAGAAGGGGATGGCCCCACAAGCCACAGGGACCCTCCCCTTAGGGAGCAGTTGAGTGATTGTGAGTTTAAATAGGTTTTCCTTAAATGGCATAGGGGAATTTGAGCAAATTCTTACACTTTGGCCCTTTTAGACATAGAAACAGCTTCTCAGGTCACTCTTGACTGAAGAAGAGAAGTCCCTATCTTAGCTCTAAAGATGTTAAGAGAGTTTAAAAAATGGGAAAATACCCCATATATGCCCCCCTGCAGCGCAGTAATATTATTATTATTATTATGATTATTATTTGAAACACAACAAGATGAGTCCACAGTAGACACTCTGCTGGCTGTTGTACTGGATCACACATCGGACACTTCCCAAGTGTCTAAGACTGTGTGATGTATCAGCGAATAATGCGTGCAGATCCCAGTAAGGTGGCCTTTTGCAGCTCGCAGATGTAATCTTGTCAGCCCCGATTGTGTTTAAATGCAGGCCAAGGTCTTTAGGCACTGCACCCAGTGTGCCAATCACCACTGGGACCACCTTGGCTGGCTTGTGCCAGAGTCTTTGTAGTTTGATCTTTAAATCCTCATATTGTGTCAGCTTTTCCAGTTGTTTCTCTTCAATCCTGTTGTCACCTGGGATTGCAACATCAACAATCCATACTTTGTTTTTTAACACGATCGTGAGCTCAGGAGTATTGTGCTCCAAAACTCTGTCTATTATTATTATTATTATTATTATTATTATTATTATTATTATTATTATTATTATTATTTTAAAGAATGTGGGTTTGGCCCTCCAAGATCTCCTGGGATGACAACTGTTTTATAAACCACCTTAGGTCCCACTCTGGGAGAAAAGTGACAAATTAAACAAACAAATAAAATAATGAGCCCCAAAGTTTGCCACTTCAGTACAGTCTAGTACAATAAAATCCAGGTAGACAACAACAGCTGTGAAATTAACAAGACAGTCCATATTACTGGCCCAGAAACACAACAATTATGGAAAACTGAATTATTTTATCTGAGACATGAATTTATTCTGAGAAAGCTATCCAAGGCAATCCAAATGGCCATATTAACTAAGCTAGGATTTAGTATCATAGGATTCAAGAAGCTCAGAACTAATGAACTCTCCATTCTGATTCAGACATCTTTTCTTCAAAGTCCTCAATCCTAAGAAAGTAAAGCAATTATAGACAATCTATAGAAAGCCACAATTCTCAATAGGCTGTGTGATTTTTGGTTGCAGATCCAGAATCAAGGCTCTTCAGATTTTCTATCACCTTATATGACAAGGTCTCTGAATCTTCAGATGAGAATGACCCTCTTCTGAGAACCTTTGTCCACCTCGTCCCTGGAAAATAACACTAGCAGAGTAGACTGAGATCTTATATAGAGTTCTCCAGCACTTTGTAAATCCAAACAGAAGTACCAACACATCTTTTACTTTTAACACATTAAAACCCTGTGAGTGATAATAGCTAGATGGTACAAATAGCAAAAAAAGTTTGGGTTGCTGTTTTGAAATACTGCACTTTTATAGGGTCAATTTAAAGTGCAAAAGTGCTCTAATTATTTCCCATAATACAGGAGCACTTCTTAAAATGGCACTGTGACTCAACCTATCTGCTTAGGGTATTATCTCCTATTTGATTACATTATATGCCTTTCATTTTATTTCAACTGTTTTGATTCCATACAGCTAGATTGTACAAACACATCAGCAACACCGGTTAAGCTGGTGATAAATACTTAGGGAGGAGATCTTGAGAATAAATAAAAAAGGCTGCCAGATTCTCTGATTTCTGCATGGAGAAATCAGGCAGCAAGCAATTGAGCTGGGGAAGAAACAAATTGATGTTTAGTTCCTCCCTTCCTTCTCCACCTACCTGAATGCTTGCTGCCTTTTTGAAGTCAGTTTTGTGTGTGCTATATGCACACACCATCATAAACCACTACTTAGAGAACCTTCCGTCTTGTGGGATTAAACGCTCCACACAGATCTAGCTTATTTCCAGGAAGCGAAGATGATGGCTGCCAAAATAGGCCTTCTCTTTGCCTCAAAGGAATCAACAGGAGCTTCTGAGTTGGCTAACCAGTAGGTGGCAGTCAGAGTCTTATCTTTGGCTACTGCATGCCTTAATTGCTGACAGAGATTTACATTAGCAGCAACCTGTAAATAAAGACTATTTGCCAGCAACAGATCAAGAATGCATTAGCACACTATATAATGGCTATGTAAAAGGTGTAAAAAAGTGCATGCAGCTCGCCTGCCATTTGTATCAGAGCAAAACCAAGTTCTAGATTACAAACACGTGTTAGAGCTGGGGGAAAAGCCATCCCTAGTTTTCAGCATGCCCTGTGATAGATGTCTGCTTCAAAGCATTGTTCCATTCTCAATATTCTTCTACAGTATGAATTTGTTTCCATTTTTTAGAAAGTAAATATGGTCCAATGATGACCGTGCACAGAAATCTAAGTTTCAGAAGAAAATCTCCTAACTAAAGAGGAAGTACTCTTTGCTCTTCCAGGCCATTAGAGATTTATCACCATACGAGAAAATTCCTTCTTTGCAATCCTGTCAAACAGAAATTAAACATCACCTTATACACAACATATCACAGGATAATTCAAGGGGCCAATTTAGGAAAATCTGGGAGCTAATTTTTAACTTCCAGAACTTTCAATGAGTCACACAATTCTAAAACGTTCACAACAAAATTAAAAAGGGAAAGACCGCTACTCTATTTATGATTTCTTCTCCATGTAGTTAGACCAGGAGTCCTCAATCTTTTTAAACAGAGGGCCAGGTCACAATCCCTCAAACTGTTGGAGGGCCAGATTATAATTTGGGAAAAAAGAAGAAGAATGAATTCCTATGCACATTGCACATATCTTATTTGTAGTGCAAAAAACACTTCAAAACAATACAAGAATTAAAAAGAAGAACAATTTTAACAAATATAAACTTATGAGTATTTCAATGGGAAGTGTAGGCCTGCTTTTGGCTGATGAGATAGGATTGTTGTTGTTGTTGTTGTTGTGTGCTTTCAAGTCGTTTCAGACTTAGGTTGACCCTGAGCAAGGGCTGGGTAAATGACCTTGGAGGGCCGTAGCTGGCCCCTGGGCCTTAGTTTGAGGACCCCTGAGTTAGACGATGTGTGTGTCAAATCCATATACATCCTATGACAAGAAGGAACAGAAATGAAGAAACACGGGAACAGGAAGGCCTTTGCAATCCTTGTAGGGTTTGTTAATAATCTTTGTAGAGGAAAGGAGATTTTATCACCTCCCTGCAAGAAGAAAAGAATGCCAAGTTTAGCATTTCTCCCTATTTTCATCCAAGTAGAGGCAAGAATAATTCCATGCAAACATGCTCTGATTATTACAGCACATGAGATCTGAGGAAGTGAAGAGTTGCAAACCCTAGCTAATGCAGTTATTAACTATGAAGATTCATGGGCTCCAGAGCTGCATTTCCACTGACTGTAGTTTGTCATACCATTGAATGACTACAGTGTGAACACAGCCACACTAAATTGTGTGTGCCCACATTGCTGCCATTTAATAACATGGGGTATGATTATCTGCATTTTTGTATCCATGCAGAGCCCCAGAACCACAGACATGGCAGACACACTATGCAGAGGGGATGTAGTGGCAAACAAAACTGAGTAAAATGAGAAATCTTAAGTCCAAGGATATCTACTGAAGTTTTCATTTTGAATTTGCACCTGCTATGAAATGGAGAGAGAAGAAGACTAGAGGTTTAAGGAGGATTGCCCTGCAGGCGAAGCAATTTAAAAAAGTAAAGGACTGCAGTGGTCAAGCTCTAGCTGAATGTGAAATCTGTAATAACAATCAGCTGAAGAGAATATTGTAAATGTCAGGGAGTGTGAAAACTTGGCAAATACAGCTTCCAAGTAACTTTGCGGTGGGGGGGGGGGTAAGGGGGGTTGACCTTTGATCCTTGAATGCCAAGGATAAAGAGTGTTTGCAGAAGGAGTACTGAGGATGATGAGAAGTTTGGCTGGCCTAGATCGCAAGGTTTACAGGTGGATTTCCAGAGTGGACTACTAAAGCAGGAGTTCTAATATGTGCCATGGAAACATATAGGTGAAATCGTTCAACACTGTACAGGAAAAAGAAACATGACTTGCTGACAGGCTTAAAATCCAGGGCAAAGACAAAACATAGGCATTTTAGGCAAAATGAAGTCTGCATGCCTGACCAGCAAGTGGGTGGTGGTGTCAAAAGAAAATATGAAGAGCTGTGACTGTATTCAGTTGAGCCACTGCTGACATTCAGTACAGACAGAAAACATGTCTCCAAGTTGTTTGGCATTAGGGTCATGTTTAAAAGTGAATCATGAATCAGAAGTAATAAGCTGACTCAGAAACCCATTTCATTATTATTGTATGGTACATTTTGAAACTAAGGCTGATGAACTTCAATTTATCCTTCAACATTATTATTACGAAGCAAAGAATCTAGAAGGAGAGCTCAAAACTTTTAATAGTTAAGGATACAGACTAAAAACTAAATACTAAATTAACTCTTCCAAAGGAGTTTCAGTACTTATCATTTTAAGTGATATGCAAGACCAAGAACACTGATCTTACATATCACTTAAAGTAGGCTTCTTCAGGCCCTCCATATGGCTTGGACTTCAATTCTCAGAATTCCTGATCATTGAACAAGTTGGGAGTTGGAGGTACAAACACCTGGAGGCCTACAGGTTGGGGAGGCCGGACTTAAAGTCATAACTAATAAAACTCATTGGGAAGTTTTTAGGATCCTATGCCTATGATCTACCACAAGTGAAAATTATGCTGCATTTTGACTGCTAAACCTTGACAATGTTGTACTTGATGAGTAACGGATCAATTGTACTGTATATAGCACACACTGTTCTCTGATGGGAATTAGAGTAGACAGCTGCATATTGTAGTTAGTGAGAAAATGGCACTGTTTTTCACTATTTCTAGACACCTGGGAGGAAAAGGAATGTTTGGCTTGAGAACATGAAAGCACTGTAATCCAAGGGTTCTCATGTGAAACTGGCACTCAGATAGATGATGTAATGTTTAGCTTAACCAAACAATTACAGAAAGACTGTTAAAGGAGTAACAGAGTCCGGTGGGCCAATAAAATTATAACACACAAAATGAATGCGAAACCTATACAGAGTGCACACTTACAGCAATTTTCAGTTGTGACAATAGTGTGTTGACCTGTACTGTACTTTTCAATAAAGTTCTTCTTCTGTTTCCAATTTAAATTTGTTTTTGAGACAGGTTAGGTCTACAGCAGACAGAAGTGTTCACTTAGTAAGTAGGTTCTGATATGGATCCTTAACAATAGAAGTTTAGAGGTCTGCTTTAGGAACAATGGTACTGGTAGTTCATAGCAATGATGGCAATTGATAAAAGTAGAGGTACTTGATAAAAAAAGCTCTCTAAACAGTGATGCTAATATTATCGTCACAAACTTTTAGTTATTATCAACCCATTTCTTGATCATGCATAAAGGTCAGCATTTGAAAAAGTTACATTTTGGAGTACAATACTCAAGAGTCATTTATCTTGGAGGATTTTAAGAGTTGCAATCTGGAAGTTAACTTTGATAAACTGTTAAGGACAGACTAATATTTCACAAATCCTAAACACCCTACTGGTTGTAATCAGTCTGTTGGGTTTCATTCCTGACTACACAAGTCTCCAGTTCTTAATGAGTAGTTAGTCTAGATAGGATTAGAGTGAGGAATTCCCCAAATTTCCTATGCATGCTTATCCTAGAAGAGCCCTTTTCTAACTCTCCTTCCTTGCCACTATCTCCTCTCCACTTTTGAAGATTTAGTAATGTGATCTCTGTGAGAGATGAGGTAACTTCCTCTTTAAAGGTATTTTTATTGCCCTGGGTTTGGCCATGGGGTTATTCTCCATTTTGGCCTTCTCTCTCTGTTCTTTTGACTTCTTTGAGTGAGGACGCATCTTGCCTTTCTACAGGCAAGATGTATCTGCATGGATACTATTTTGTTATTTTTATCCTTTTACCTTTCTTAGAAGATAGTAAGCTAGGTAGCTCCAAGACTTTTTCTATCTAGAATGGCTCTCTTTGACTTTAATAAACACATATTTTTGGGACCTAAAGTTGTGGCTCCTGCAATCCTGTGTCATTCTGTTGAATGGAAACTAATCCTGGCTCACTACACGCAAGTTTCTGCTGGCTATGAACTGTGCTTTTGGCACTCTGTTATATTTTTTGTGTAATCATCTCAAGTTTGGGTTATTTTAAGCCTAACAACTCTGATTCCCATCACAGTCAAACTATACTGAATTTTGATATTACGTCAACAAACATGCCTTATCATTAAAGTTCACATATATATCCTCTGTGTCAAACTTGTTTCACACAGTTGTGGTTTGATGGCTTTTCTGAAATGACATTTTATAGCTAAAACGAACTGTTGTTACTTTAAAACAGAGGTGGGAATCAGGAGGCTCTCTAGTTGTTGGCTAATGGCAACTCTCAACAGTCCCCAGACAATATATCCAACAGTGAGGAAAGTTGGGAATTGCAATCTAATAACGCGTGGAGAGCCACTTGATTTCCACATCTGCTTTAACACTTCAAGCTAAATTCTAAGTTTTTCTGTTTAAACAGAATACGGTTTTGTTAACTACAGTTCCCAGTTATTACAACATTGGAAGCAATAGTTAAAAATAGAAGCTACTGAGTTTTCTTCTGGGGTGTGGAAGAAGAGGAGTTAAGTCCAAACAGCCCAGGACTGAGCATATGGCACTGAATCTTGGTTTTCCTGTTGATTTTTCAACATGATCGCTGTACAGTGCCATTTTAAATGAGAGCTGCTAACTCAGTAACAGTACCTATCCTTTAAGGTGTAATTTGTTTCACATCCAGTTATTCAACTTATTTTCAATATTCGCAATAGTTTCAAGACTTCTAAGTGTAGCCAATGATTTAAATATGCTTGGCATTTATTGACAAAAAACCTCCAGAGTGAAATGACCAAGGCTATTGTCAGTATAGACACATGGTGCCATTGCACTTTACTATGGTTGACAAGGAACTATCTCAAAAGAAGGAAGAAGTACTATTTATTTATACCCCGCCTTTCTTCCTGAGGGGACAAGGCAGCTAACAAGCACACATTTAAAACAAAGCAAATACTATTATTTTTTTAAAAAACAATTAAATACTACTGTGTATGTTAGGTTAAAATAAAGTTAAAATATAATAAGTACAATTGAAAATGCATTTTATAACACACACATACCCCACCAAATCCCACCCACAACTTCCCCAACAGCATGCTCCTTATCGTTCTCCAGATGCTTGCTGCCAGAGAAAGTTCTTGACCTGCCTGTGGCAGGCCAACAGCGATGGGGACATCCTGGTCTCTCTTGGAAGGGAGTTCCACAGACTGGGAGCAGCCACTGAAAAGATCCTCAGTGATACTCTATGAACAGCTGGGTCTAACTGTAAACCCCTGTAAATGACTATTATAGTATGTGGTCTTATACATTATTCCATGAGAGGTAACCAATGAAAGATCAGCCATATAATTAGCAATCAGGCAAACAGAGAAGGTTCCCATAGGTTCTTGGCTCATTATCAGTGACTTATTATCTGATGTCAACGCTGTCAATAAAAAATAGATCAATAACAGTTGTGGGGAACTCTACTAGAGCCAATGTATTTATTCCACAGGAGTGTGAGCAAACCTAATGTGTGCAGCACATCATATATTAAAGAGAAGATAATCCAATGTCACTTACTGTTCTTCCATGGTAGTATATTCGGAAAGGATTTGGGAGCTCGCAGACATGATGCTAGGTGGTTCTTGTACCCCAGTGTTGTACTTGATACAGATCTGGAGAGCAGGGAAGGAAAGAAGTTGTGTACTTGTCACCTTTATTTCATCTAAGTACTTCCAGCAGAGAGAAGCTTAGGTATATTGACTCGCATCTAATTGGGAAATTATGATATTGTTGCCCGACTGATGATTGTACTGTTGCATTTCACGATTCTAGGTTGTTCATATTTTTGGGAAGAGAGACTTAGCTACACCACTGAGACCACTGTGCCTTATACACCATTGATGTTAACATTATACTCCAGTAAGTGGTGCTTCTCTAAGCACTACACACTATAAGGAATAATCCTTACAGAGATCTCCTGTAAGTAGGCTGCTTTATTCTCAAGGTATTGGTGGGAACTAAGCCTGAGAGGCTGTTGTTTGTCCAAGGTAACCCATCACACTCTCAACCTAAATCTTACAAAGAATAGTTCACATGCAGTCATTATACTGTTAACACCTTTCAAATACATCGATAGTAATAAAAAGACAAAGGACTGGAGTAAAGCTGGTCATCTAAGCATTATACTTTACAATAGTAAAGTGACTTCTGCTAATTATTCTTGAAATACGTTCAAAGCAGAGACTTCATTAAACAGAATACTGATAAGTCACTTACTGCTTGTCCACACATAATATGCTGGAAGCACTCCACTCAGAAACCTGAGATAGTGATAATGACCAGACCATTTTCTATCTTTAAAATACAATTATACATCACAGGTGGCCAAATTATTTTCAGGTCTGTGCATCAACAGACTACAGATTCCCAGTTGTTAAAAGAAGTAATTTTTACTGGTTCATGATAGATTAAACTTACTACTAAATCGTTTTTTTTTTGGACATGGAGTTATCTGTTACAGTCCATCAAGACTTCACATTTTTCACCCCCATAGATGGGAAGAATAATAATGTCCTAGATCACTGCACAACTAAGTTCTCAAATAAGAGTTAACACTATGTAACACGATTTTTTGTTCTTGTCTTATAAATGTCATTTCTTAATTGATTCTATCATAAAAACATGGAAAAGGTTTAGTAAACTGCAAAACTCTGTGGGACATCCTGCAGCACATTTTGCTTTTTTTTCAATGACTATCTCTCATAGAGTCTCAACCAATTTATTAGTTTCTGACAGCTACAAAAACAGTCTCTGGAGCATAACAACTACTTTCAAAGTAAGTACCGCACACTTAAACAGGAATAACAGTTTTAAATGAGGAACAGAAGAATTTTCAAATTTTTGAACCATTCCCATAAAGCTCACAGCTAGTTCAAGGAGCTTACTAAATCTGGCTGCATGTAGCACTTGCATTTATCCAAACTGCTCACCAGAAATTGCCAGAATTTTGTCCTTTGCAATGAAATCAGACACAGTTCCCTACTATTAGCCTAGAAGTGGAACTTCAGCAAGAGGAAATATTTGCACATAAATCCACTGTGGAAAAGCAGTACGATTAGGAAGTACTGATGAGTTTTATCTGTCAACTCAAAGAGTCACTCCACAAATATGTCATTTATGAAACAGCTATAGAAAAAACATAGCACTGTGCACTGAGTGATATCCAAATGTGACATTATCCCATAAAATATTGCTTTCATGAGTCTTATGTGATAAAGTTGCAAGATGGGAGGAAGGTAAAGGCTCATCATGCTCACTAGAGGGCAATAAAACACTTGTTATAATATAAGCAGGCATATGAATGGATGCTCCAGATCATTTTAATATTTAGTGAGCATCTTCATAGGGTAGTAATAAATAGGAATAGCTTTTAATAAAGCAAGACTGAAAGAATCATGACCTGCAAATATGTAAGGCTTTGAGCACTGATACTCTGTTCCCTAAGGAACTAGGTAAAATACAGACTTCTTGTAAGATCCTTTCTGCCATTTGCAGCATCAGTTAATGTATAGCAATGTTATTTGGTGCAATCCTCTTTAAACAAATCATGCATTCAAAGCTCCCTGATAGTTTCACCTTTGGGTCACTGTAATTCAGAGAGGAAGGCAGACAAGAGAAAACTGGAGTTAAGATCAAATGATCAATTCCCTAATTTCAGAGGGGGATTAACAGACCAAATAACTGAAGTGGCTGCAAGCCTTATGAAATGTGAAGTGAAATGCTTAGGTTTAGGCAACTGCACTAATTCATATTGGAAAGTCACACAGGCCTTTCCCCTCATAAGTAGGGAGCAAAAGAAGCAAAGAGATTAAGAACCCTTCAGGAATATTAAAATGCTTACAATACACCCAGCTCAGCTCATGATCTCTTTCTTGGGAGAGGTCTGAGAGGAACAACAACAAAAATGGGAGAGATAAGTCATGGTGAAGGACAAGAGTTTATCTTTTGTCTAAAGATAGGCTCATATAGACAACAGTGAGAAATGCTGGGAGATTTAGTCTCAGAACATCTGCAGGGCTCTACAATTCCACTCAATAATTGAGATTGCTTGGACAACATCCAAGATATTTGAGTAACAACTACCACTGGAGCAAAAAGCATAGAACTTATAGAATAAAAGAAGCAGAATCACAAAAGTAGAGCAAAATCGGGATCAGGAAAACCACAGCTTACTGAAACGGTAAGAGAATGATGGGCAACATTTCCCCCTTCTTCCTCTTGATTGATGCCCCCTTTCCACTAGGATCTGAACCTCTGCAAATATTCTATTAAGTCTGAAGTCACCAAAATATGGGAGGATGCTGACTTTATCAAAACACGTGTCAATCAGTTGCTATTTTCAATTTGTGCCCTCTCTTGCCTTTTTGAAAACTATGAAGGGTTATTTTGTCATAATATGTCTCTTTTGAGAACCAACAGAGTGTACTAGTTTTGAGTACTGAATAATGACGCTGGAAAACAAGGGTTGAAATCTCCACACAGAAATGTAACTCATTGGGTGATATTGAGCAAATCTCTCTGTCTCAGAGAAAGGCAATGGAAAAGCCCTTCAGATGAAATTTTGCTACAAAAATGCAATGCCTCAAAGGCACACAATAACTAGGATAAGATCCAGAGAGAATGTGACAGTATTTGTCCCAAACATATACTAGAAGGTGCTCATGGCTTGACATTCTTCTGGCAGATTTAAGGATCGCCACAGCTCAACTACCATTTAAACTGATGTGTGGAATATACCTTGCTTCTTGGAAATAATGTTAAAACCTGATTCTTAAAATAACTGAGAAATTTCAAGGCCCAAAGGCCATGCAGAATAGCACAGATTGAAGCCAGCCTTTGGCAGGAAGTTCCACAGATGTGGTACTGCTAAAAACAGTGTTATATGTATATTAGCCTCCTGGTGGCGTAGCAGGTTAACCCACTGAGCTGCTGAACTTGCTGACCGAAAGGTTGGCGGTCCAAATCTGGGGAGCAGCATGAGCTCCCGCTGTTAGGCCCAACTTCTGCCAACCTAGCAGTTCGAAAACATGCAAATCTGAGTAGATCAACAGGTACCACTTTGGTTGGATGCTGATTATCTTCGACTTAGGCAGTGAGCGGCAATGCAACCTACCTGTTTACAGAACGGCTGGTGCCCCAAATGAAGGCAGAGCCTGGTGAGTCTTCCAGATCTGCCAAGATAAACAGATCATTAAAATTCTTGCTGAAGAACAAACAAGAGCCATCTAATGTAAAATTGCATTTTGTTTAGAACATAATAATCTAGATTCAGCTGCTATACAGAACACTGTAAATTTGGGAATGTGCTAATTTATATTCTTGAACTACAAAATGCTTCCGCTTCTACAAAGCATGAGATGTTAGTGAGGCATACATTGTACGATAGATAATAGAGTTTGAAGAAGAAAAAACATTTGTTCACACAATTATTCTATTGAAGCACATGCTGCATACATCTCCCCTCACCTTTGTCCCAGTCTTCTTCACATGGAGGAGATTGCCATGAACGTATGACATTAAATTCTCTTCTATAGTTAGTCTGCTCATGTGCTGCAATAAAACAGATTTGTTGTCAGTAAGAGCATTTTCAAGAATGTCTGGCTAAGCAACAAACCTTCATTTTCTAGAATGACTCGTGACTTTTTGCTTACAGATAAAAAATAGAATTGATTTCAAAACATATTGTGCTGCCTAGGTATTGTTTTTTTTTTTCAATAAGCTGGCAAGGTCAGCATTTTGCATTTATCTGGAACAGCTGTAGCTGAATATTTTCTCAGCTGGTTTAGAGGACTCTAAGAGAACCTTCTGAAACAGACACGATGCATTTAAAATATCAGACAGAAGAGTAAAATGGTCATCATATCTACCACAGACAACTTTAACTCCCTTGTACAAGAATGCTGACACTCTAAAATCCTAATTCTTAAATTCATAAATGCTCTACTTTGGGATTACATAACCAAGGTAATAATGAAAATAATTTCAGATTTAAAATGCCTATTTGAATTAGCCATAAGTCCCAGCTGCAAGCTACTGTTCAAATGCCACTACTCTGGACTAAAGGCAACTGTTCATTCCAACAAGCGTAGTGACTCCTAGCGTTGCCCTATGTTTGAGAGTAGGAATTGGCTCATTTCCCAAAACTATCCAGATTGTATTTCATCTCTCATACTCTTGCCTATTGAAGCACAAGAGATCTGAAGCACTCAGTGAATGCATGGCTTAAAAGAAAATATTCTAAAACGGTAATATGATAAAGTACAGTTGGTCCACCACACATGCAGATTTCACTTTTGTGGTTTTGACTATTCATGGATTAGTATGTTATCTATAGGAATCTCAGGTCCTCCAGCACAACTGCCGAACGTCTGCTGAAAACGGACCCCAGAGCCATGCTGAAGAATTCTAGAGATTCCTTACCTGGGCATTTATAGGTCCCGCAGCGCAATTATAAGCTGAACTTCCTGAGGTTGAAAAGGGACATATTTTGATATGCAGTTTTCCCACATTCACTAAGGTCTTGTGCCCTTAACTCCAGAGAATGAGGAAGGCTGATTCTAACATGACAGAATAAGAAGCAGGCAATACAATGCTCTCTCTTTGCAAATACTTCTCCAACTGAAGCTCCACATCAGCAGTCACCTTTAGGTATGGAACTAATGTTCAATTTCCTCAACTGGAATTTGAGTGTGAAAAGCACAGTAAGCTACGAACCCAAGTTCATTTACTTCACAAAAGGACATTTTGTTCCAGTTGGCTTGCTTCATACTAGAGCTGAATAGGAGATATGAGTGACCTGAGATCTTTATTATGGATGTCCTTCCTTGCTGGCAGGAATCCCAAGAACTTGTCATCTTCATGTATAATTTATGGTACAATATTTTACAATAGAAACCACTGATTTGTACAACCAGTTGCTCAAAGAGCATGAAAGCGCACATGGGGGTCCAATGGGAAGCGCTCCACCTATGCAATTCCAAATCATGATCAAAGGAAAAGAAGAGTGTTTTTCACATACATAATAAACTCTGAAAGGACATTTAGAAGACAAAAAGAGAAAATCATTTGACAACCCTTTTGAAATGTTAATAGCAGAGATAAGCTGGGACTGCAGGTGCCAAAAGGCAATTCACACAAATGGATTTCTTACCGATGTCCTGCTCAATGCTTCTTTTGTCATCACAGTGTGATATGTGTTGGCTGATCTCTTCTCTGGGAACATGATGACGAGCATTAAATGGGCACGTGACCAGCTTTTGCACAACATCAGGATGGTTCTAGGGAGGCAGACACACATAGTACAGCATAGGCACAGCTTCGTGGTTGATAGGCTAATTTGGGACTTGGGGCACTGTTTTGCAGTGGTTCCAGTTTTTTTTTTGCTGTTGTTGAAGATGGTGCTGAGCACCTATCGCTCAGCCTTATTTTGGGTTCCACAGGTGTCAATATTGTTCGCCTATGCCCTTGAACATCTTTAAGCTGCTGGGAGAGGTCATCTGTTGCTTTGAGACTCTCTCCTTCTCTCTTAGCAGCCCTTTAGAAATAATGAATTTAGGTTCAAATCAGACAAAATGGAGGTGCTACTGGCCAATAGAAAAGCCAACTTTGGACCCAGTTGTGCTTCTGGAAATCTAGCTACTGTGTGGCCAGAAGCATTTTTGCTCAATTTTTTCGCTGGTGCACCAGCTGAACCCTTTCTTGGGGGAGGCAGATCTGATAACAGTGGTTTATGCCTTAGTTTTCCCTTGATTAGATAACTCTAAGTGCTTTAAATAGGTCTGCCCTTGAAAATTGCTCAGAAGCTGCAGCTAGTGCAAAATACAGCAGCCAGATTGATGTCAGGTGTGCGTTTGAGAAACCATATCAAACTGGTCCCGTAAGGTCCTTGCTGGCTTTCAATTTGCTGTAGCAGCACATCGACTGTGGAAATCCCTAACCAAGAAAGTTAGGCTGCCCTGTCCCTTTTAAGCTTCCAGCAGGCAGCCAAAACAGTATGTTCTACACAACATTCAATTTCTGAAACTGAATTGATTTTGACTGTTTTTAAGGAGTTTTTAAAGAGAATTCTGTTTATTTGATTTTTCTAATGTCTGGATTGTTTTTGTTTTTTCCACCACTTCAAGAGCCCTTGGGGGGATTGGAGGAGATACAGAAATGCTTTATAAACAAACAAGCTACTCCTTACTAAACAGAATACAAGCCTTTTCCCAACTGCTTTATTTTAATCTGTGCAATGCAAATATCCCAAATTATGTACATGTATTTTAACACAGACCTTATCTTAACAGTGACAATTAGAATCATAGAATCAAAGAGTTGGAAGAGACCTCATGGACCATCCAGTCCAACCCCCTGCCAAGAAGCAGGAATATTGCATTCAAATCACCCCTGACAAATGGCCATCCAGCCTCTGCTTAAAAGCTTCCAAAGAAGGAGCCTCCACCACACTCCGGGGCAGAGAGTTCCACTGCTGAACGGCTCTCACAGTCAGAAGTTCTTCCCATGTTGACTATTAGCGATGACTGCATTTGTTTCTAAGTGTTTGCAGACCGCTTCCTTAACAATCTTTTCCAGAATCTTGCCCGGTATCGACGTGAGGCTGACCGGACGGTAGTTGTTTGGGTCATCCTTTTTTCCCTTCTTGAAGATTGGGACCACATTGGCCGTCCTCCAATCTGCTGGAACTTCTCCCGTTCTCCAAGAACTCTCAAAGATGGTTGCCAATGGTTCCGAAATGACTTCCGCTAGTTCCTTCAATACTCTTGGGTGTAGTTGATCTGGCCCTGGGGACTTGAACTCATTTAGAGCGGCCAGGTATTCCTGGATGACTTCTTTCCCAATTTGGGGTTGGATGTCCTCCAATCCCTCATCCACTCCATCTTGCTGAGGTTGAAGACTCTCTTTTTGTGAGAAGACCGAGGCAAAGAAGGCATTAAGTAGTTCTGCCTTTTCCCTATCCCTGTCAGCATTGCCCCATCTTCTCCTCGAAGAGGTCCTATCGCCTCCTGTTTTTCCTTTTTCTACTGACATAAGAATAGAAGCCCTTTTTATTGTTTTTAATGTCCCTGGCAAGTCTGAGCTCGTTTTTTGCTTTAGCCTTGCGGACCTTTTCTCTACAGGTGTTGGCTATTTGTTTGAATTCAATTATCCCCAAAACAAGTATACAACACACAAAACAAGCTTTTTGAAACTAAGCATGAAAATCAGCTAGTAAACCAAGATTTTTTTTCTCTAGCAGCATGAAGTACCTGGGTAAATTCTGCAAAATTAAGCATGGCAAAGATGAGGTGCCTTATGCATGAGCAGAAGTGAATCAATGTAATACACTCTGCAAAATAATGCACTATATGTCCCATGTTATGCAGAAGGCTCATGGATTATACTACACACTAGGGGTGGGAAACATCTAATGCGGGGGCCATATACTGCCCCAAAATCATTTGGCCTAGCCCCAGATACATTGCGAGTACTGACTCAGATGTGTTGCTGTTAACAATCCTTGCAGAAATTGAATCTCAGATGAAGATTAATACAATTACAGAAAAGACCTCAAGAATCAGTGATCCAAATGTTGGGCATTTTCCAACTCCAAGTTGCAGGATTAGAAAAGTAATTAAAGCAAAATAATTTGCACCCAAGACCATGCAGTCATGGCTGTTATGGGAAGGGAGACCCTTGGATGGCCTCCCAAGGTAGGGGTAAATTGCCTGGTATGTGTTCCTGCAGAGGCTAGTCTCAAGGGGAGAGTGGGACCAGAGGTTTCACAAGTCCTGACTACCCTCCTTTGGCCCTCTTTCTGCTCTTTTTGAGGCTGGATTGGCAGGAGCTCTGCATTGCTCCATAGGATCCCTGACCATGATCTGTGTGGATCCTATTTCACTGGTTTCTTGGGGTTGCATGGTTGGCACAGGGCTGAGGTGGACTGTTCAACTGGCAGCACTGCAAGAGGTAGGAAGCAAGTTCCTATTTTTGAACTACGCCTATCCCTCCTTGCTCGCTTTCCTTCCCTGTTCCAGTGGAAAGTAGGTTTCTAATTACTACGTCTTTGCCTCTGAGGCATTTACACTAGAATTTGGGCTGTTTCCGCTCATGGCCATTTTGGTATAAATCCCTCAGTAGGGTATAATGAAGAGATGAGCGCATATTAACTCATTCCGACACAAACTAAACAGGCAACTAGATACACAATCCTATTCAACATCTAACATAAGCATTTACACAGAACATTTTCATACCTTACCTTACGGCATTTCACAAGGTGGTAGGGATATCTACATGCCCTAATCTGATGATTTTTGTCATATGGGCATTGCAATAGATTATCAGGATCCAAAGCATCAACTAGAAAACAATACACACAGGGTGACAACATGTTTTAAAGTCTACTTGGTTGTTATCTTACCACAATTAAGATATGAAAACATGTAAACATTGGGAGTTAAGGGAACAAGAAAGAAAAACTAGTATTCTTTAGGATTCCCATCCACAAAATTACTTTTATCTTTGGTGGCTAATTAAATCCACTCAAAAGATTTAGATGACCAAGGCACTAAATAAAGAAATTGAAGTTAGCAGTGCAAGACAATGCTGCAGATGTTAATAAGCACATTTATGAAGTAAACAGAATGTTGGAGTGAAACTAAATCCTCAAAATTACTGTAGATAGTCCAATTAAAGGAGTTATGCATGGAAACTGAAAAACAATCATGAATTTTCTTTAATTAACTTATAGAATACGTAGCTTTTTCCACTAAGTGGTGAAGTTACTCTGTGACTATCTGTTATAGGGCACTAAAAGAGCTTGGGGTGGAAAACATCAGGGGAAAAAGACTAGGTGCTGAACTGAAGCTCTTCTCTATCTAGCAGGCGTCACTGAATTTTAGCAACAGCATATTTATAAAATAAAAAGGGGAGGTGTTTTTAAGTCAAATTGCACTTTCTACAATTGACTGCAGAATTTTGCTTTCAAGTAAGCTCTGTATTCCCCAAATACTTGTTTTACAGAAAAGGCAAGTTTTATGATAACTCTGCTACTAAAATTTAGAAGCAATTGGACAATGGGAGTTGCAAGAGAAGACAAAGGGGAACATGGACTTGCAGACAGCCCACATGTTCTTCACTCCTAGTGAAGACGCTGCAGAATTCCCTAGGTTTCTAATGTAAACCACATTTGTGGTCAATATTGCTAAGAAAGAAACATTAAGAAAAGCCATGACAAAACCTAAGAATGCTACTAGCATACTTTATCTAGCCGAGGCCCTATATTTCGTTCCTTCCTGTTTGGATAAGTGCCTCCATGATATATTTACAATATCTATATGTAATGACATCTCCTCTATGAGACAAATAATTAAACATTTAGAAAGAAAAGAATATACAGCATGTTCTCAGTAGTTCTGCTGTTGGAATGCAATATACTGAAGTTTAACACAAGTTTAATGAAATATAACCTACTTGTTTTCAATACTGAGTATTGCCTGTCAGACTAGGGGCAGTTATTTTACCTGATATCATTTTAAACATATAGCATTTACTCAAAGGTATTGTGTATCCCTTTAGATAGCTTAAGAAGTCAATATAGGTTTTCTTAGACCAAGCGTACTTCATCAGATGCAGATACTTTGGATTTTTCCTCATAAGTTGACAGGATGCATCTACACTGTAGAATTAATTCTGTTTTGACACATCAACTGCCCTGGCTCTATGCTATGGTATCCTGGGACTTGTAGTTTAGTGAGACACAGCACTCTTTGGTAGAGAAGGCTAACAACCTTGTAAAACTATAGATCCCATGAGATTTGATAGATTCCAATTCCAGAGAAACAGAGCTATGTCTTTGAATTCAAACACAACTTGAGAGCACTGTGTGTCTCTACACATAGGGTTCAATTTCACCCACAATTCCCTTCCATAAAGACAAGCTTTCCTCCTGAAGTTCAGGTTTGACACGAGTATGGAAATTACCCCCAAGATGTGTTGAATGTCTTATTATGACAGAATACAGACAAAAAGATATAAAGAACTCTCATCCAAATGCATCTATTTTCCATTCACATTACATACACTTCCAGCTTACAGAGATCTCCATCAACAGCCTAATCATGGAGGCATCACTGATTCTTTTTTAAAATACTTTAAAAAAGAAAAAAAGAGGAAAAAAGGAAATAAAAAACACACAAAGAAAAAAAGAATCTTGGGGTATTTTGACTCCCATCTATTTCTTGGTGTGGTATTCTCAAAAAACACATTCTTAAGAATAAGAAGAGAAATAATTCCCTTTTCTTCTTTGCTTCACAACTTCCCCCTTTCTCTTCCCCTGCAAGTACTTATGGGCAGCTGTTTTCTTATAAGTTCTTTCTAGTTTATATTATTTTTTTCATATTGCCATGTTTCAAATAGTTCTTAATTGGTTGCCAATCTTTTTGGGTTTTTGGTAGCCCTTGATGTGCTTGCGTCAGGTAGGTTAATCTATCCATATTCATAATCTCCATTATTTTTATCAGCCAATCTTTGATTGTGGATGTTTTCTTACATCTCCAATTCCTAGCATATACTATCCTTACTGCAGTGACTAGATAGTTAAATAAATTCTCTTTATTTTTTCTTTCTTTCTCTAGATCCAACATGAGGCACAGCTGATTCTTGAGGCACAGCTGTTCATCATACAACACATCCCTAGGCTCTGGGGAGAAACTGTAGACTTTCAGATGTTTCTGGGCTTCTGTTCCCATAATCTCACACCACCAACTATGCTGGGAAGAGTTGATGAAAACTGGAGGGGAGAAATTGGAAGGCCATAATCCAGGCATTCTCAAACTGGAACCTTCCAGCTGTTTGGGCCTCCAACTGCCAAAATTCCTGACCATTGAGAAACCAGCTACAGGTTATGGGATTTGGAGGCCCAAACAGCTGGAGGGCTGCAGTTTGCGGGTGCCTGCCATAGTTGCTCACCTCTGTTTTAAGACGAAACACCCATTAGATTTAGCCAGTAACAGTCCAGTAAACCCCTGGAGAGCCACACTCCATCCATCCCTGACTTAGTTATATCCTAATCTTCTATTAAGAACAGGACAATGTATTCAGGAGAGCCCCCTACCACCTTCAGATGTGCTTTTCTTCAATAGAAGAAATGATGCCTGTATCAAGTGCCGCAAGACGACAAAATTCAAGATACCTCTTGGAAGAGCTCAAAGAGTGTCTGTTTTTATTTTGCAAAAATCCTAGTATGCCTTTAGCTTATGTAAATATTCTTCAGGGACAATATGTAATCTAACCAGGCATTTCTGCAGATGAAATTTTAATTCTATTTGCTGGACTTGTTTCTTTTAGGCCCAGCAAATGGAATGAGATTTTCAGCTCCCGAAATTTCTGAAGTGAGATATCACCCCTGAAGGAAGACACTGAAATATTTACATAGGCCAAGACACATTAAAAACAGCGTCTGGAGATGTATCTCCTTTTCTTCCTATAGATTCCACTTAATGCTTTGGAGTATTTACCTTTCTACCTTAAAACTAGCCCCTTTTTTGTTTTTGGACGAAGACAACATTGTTAGTCCATGGTACTTATAGCCACTTCCTTCCTCTGAGCACTGTTACCAATGTTAATTTAAGTATGAACTAGATGGCACCCTATTCTCAAACTTTTAGTGTTGCAATAGCTTAACATTTAATTACAACTCTTCATTTTCCTTTTTACACACCTGCAACCCACTTCTCCCCAGTCCCATGCCTTGCAATTGATGCTTTCATTTAAGTGGCTGCTGATGTGAAGGAAAACAGGCACCTTAATATATTTCATTTACTTTACTTTGGCTAAGATTAGCATTCATTTATCCTGTAAACACAAGAGCCAGTTGTCTCTATTTTTATCAGGTTTCTTTGGATTGACAAGAAAAAGAGCAACTAAAAACTGCTGAAGTACCATAGCTGTCATCTGTCTTCATAGTTTGGATGAAATTTTGCTGAAAGTTATGGATACCATGCATCTGGGACTGATGTGCCTTTTCAAAGTATCTGCCCTAAAGTGTAGAAAAAAGATAATTATCATTATTCCAGTTAATAAGAAAGTAGTCCCACAGCTAAAACACGAAAAATGTTAAGTACATAAAGAAAAGCTGCTGATATTTCATTTCCCCTCAGATTCCAAGAAGTGAAACAGATGTACTGGGTTTCTTGGCTATCACAAGAAAAACAAATGTGTTTTGTTCAGTCTCACACAAAATCAACACAATTCCCACCACAATAAAAATGTTATACTGCCCCCTCTTTACTACTTTTATATTAGTTTGGTTAGCACTGTTTTAAAAAACCAAAACAAAAAAACCCAAAACTATGAGCTGATTACTATGACTATATCATACACACACACACAATACATATATTATGAATATATTGTATCATCCCTATATCAGGAGAAAGGAGGGCCAAAAATACAGAAAATAAATCAATATTTGGCTTATCCTAGTATGAAAGTTTCAAAATATATTAATGGCTGGACTAGTCAGAGTGTTGCAAATACTGACTGTGACACTGAAGGCGACAATTCAAAGCCCTCTTTAGCCATGGAAACCCACTGGGTTATTTTATTTTATTTATCGTGTCATCAGCAACCATACCATTGTATTACATTTCTAACAGAACAAAACAAACACACAGATTTAAAAAAAAGGTGATCTTTTTTAATAATAAAATATTTAATAATAATAAAATAAAATCACTGGGTGATCTTAGGCAAGTCAGACTCTCTCGGCCTCAGAGAAAGGCAAAGAAAATCCCATTATCCCCTCACCTTAAAGTTGATGGCACACAACAACAAATTCACAGCTTTCAAAATATATGAACAGTGGCTAGACTTCAATCATCCATTGGATGTTAATTTGCTATCCTGATTTGTCCACTATGAAGCACTCTTAAATTCATTTTAAGATATCTCAATGGACTTAAAAGAGTGTAACAAATAGGTCAGGAGGGAAGACTGTTCTCTAGGTAAACATTTCTCAGCAGCATGGGAGGGCTTGAACCTGGGATCATGCCTTGCCCTCTCTAAAGCACCAAGACTGACTCGAATACAGTAATATTAATATCTATATAAATAAACATGTAAAGTTTGTTTGTGGGATTAACATAACTCAAAAACTACTGGATGAATTGACATGAAATTTGGACACTACACCCCTAACAGACCAACGAATGACTATCACTCATTACCCCCCCCCCCCCAAAAAAAAACAGCAGAAAGAACTTTAAAATCCAAAAAAGTTCAATGACAATCCAATGCATGCTTGAAAACAACAGCTCCCAGATCCCCTAGATCTCCCAGGCACTGTAGGGGAGGAGGATGCTGCAAATGCTGCAAGCTTGCTTCTCCTTGGATTTCTTTGAGAGCAACCCAATTTGTGCATATTTCCTATTTCCTATTCCTGGACTGCAGCTCCCAGCAATCCTCCAGATAAATAAGATATGGTAGATAGATTAGACAGAGATATATAGTAGGTAGGTAGATTGACCAGGAGGACTGCTGGGAGTTGCAGTCCAAGAATAGGTAGAGAAGGAAGAAAGGAGAGAAAGTAAAAAGGAAAAAAAAAGGGAGGGGAAGGAAGGAAAAAGGCAGGGAAGGAAGGAAAGAGGGAGGAATTGAAGGAGAGAAAGAAAGGAGAGAAAGAGGGAGGGAAAGCTGGGTACAGCAATGCGTGGCGGGTACAGTTAGTTAACAATACAAAACTTTAGAATGGTTGCATGTATCCATGGCTTCACCCGCAGCTTATTACACATATGATTGATACCAAAGCAGAGATGTGTAAAACAGAAAAATATAAGAGCTCCTAATTTGAATTCCAAGCAGCTTGTTTGCCATAGACCGGTAGACATGTTCCCATGAAAAGCTCTACTGGACCAATGAGGGTCAAATTTCTTTCTTTCTTTCTTTTCTTTTCTTTTCTTTCTGCAGTATCAGAACCAAGTTTCCCAAATTCAACCTTAGTTCTTGTAGACACTACTACTCTTAAGGAAACAAAAATTTACACTTCAAATATACCACTATACCTGAACCGGATCTAAATAAATAAAAACCATTGAAGATTGAGAAAACACTTCTGCACAATTTTTCAAGTCCACAAATAAGAAGTGAGGGTGTATAAACTACATTCCTCTTCAGAAATAATGCACAGGAAAACTAAAAAGGGAATAAATAAAGAATGAAGTCGCCCAGATCATGCTCAGCCCTGCATACTATTATTGATTAAACCAGGGGTCCTCAAACTAAGGCCCGGGGGCAGGATACGGCCCTCCAATGTCATTTACCCGGCCCTCGCTCAGGGTCAACCTAAGTCTGAAACTACTTGAAAGCACACAACAAAAACAACAACAACAACAACAATCTTATCTCATCAGCCAAAAGCAGACCCACACTTCCCATTGAAATACTAATAAGTTTATATTTGTTAAAATTGTTCTTCATTTTAATTATTGTATTTTTAAGTGGTTTCTTTTTTTTTTTCCACCATAACTAATATATGTGCAGTGTGCATAGGAATTCATTCATTTTTTTCAAATTACAGTCCGGCCCTCCAACAGTTTGAAGGACTGTAACCTGGCCCTCTGCTTAAAAGGTTTGAGGACCCCTGGATTAAACCATAATATAACTATTTTAAAAAAATATACAGTGTACCTTATTGCGGTTCATATTTAGGTTCTTTTTAGTTCACTATTTGTTTCTTCTGATTAAAATACTTTCCTGTTTCAAGGTAAAATCAGGTTCGTCTAGGAACAAAAATGAGAAAAAACGGTATAAAAACAAAAGTAACCAAATGAATTGTTAGGCATAAACAATTTATTTATCTATTGCTAACTATATGATATTTCATACTTCATAATCTTATAGTGACATATGAGATCTTTAAGATATGGGAAGAACTTGCAACTTCAGTTAACCACTAGTTACGTGCATGAATATTCTTACATCCTGGACCTTAAGAGTATTGTAGTGTCTTGGAGAGGAATTGAGGGAAAAAAGGTGTTTTGGAATAAGCATTTGTAGCATCTGATGGTGGAATGGAATCCACAGAAGCTACACAAGAAATGTCTTTTTCTCATTCTTAAAGATGCTACAGGATTCTTTTTTTTTCTCTACTGAACCAGATCACTCATATCTATGTCTTTGAATACTACTCCTCTGCCTAGTTTATTTCTGCTTCCTTCAACATTTGTATACTTGAAATATAAAGTAAGACACATCTGAATTTTTAAAGAATAACCAGTTCTGCCCTTTCTGGCACACAAATTGGAAAGAGCAAGAAAGGAATATCTGATTTTTTAGGATTGGATTCCATCCAAACAACTGTGGGTTATAATATTCCAAGGAGGTACATAATAAATTGCATATATTCTTCAGAAGGTTTGTACAAATATGCAGATGAAAATATCTGTAGTAGTGTAGAATTTAAATTGTATTTTGTCCTTAAAGGTAGTATAATCACCATCTCTAATGGTATTCCGCAAAAAGGTGAAGACCTGGATGTTTGTGCAGGCGTTTGAGTAATTTAGTGCAATCTGGTAATGGAACATAGGAATGGAACAATGGACGACGAACCTGGACTACGCTTGGATGATGAGAAGATTGGGTACGGTTGTTTTTCGTAATAATTGTGCATTGTAATTGCTTATTGGTAATTTATGGATAATGTGTTAAGTCAATTGTTATATGTTGCATGGAACCACTGCTGTTTCTACTGTTTTTACTGTTTGTGAACCGCTGTGAGTCGCCTTCGGGCTTGAGATACAGCAGTATATAAGCAAAGTAAATAAATAAATAATAAATAAATATAAGTGATGTAATGGACAATTACTGATCTTACAAATTGTGTAATACTTATCTTGCTGTTAAAAGATGTAGAGCCAACCTTAAGAAATGGGGCTACAAAGTGGAATCCATGACATGTGTGTGTGGAGAAGAGCAAACCACGGACCACTTACTACAATGCAGTCTGAGGCCTGCCCCATTCACAATGGAGGACCTTCTTGTAGTGACACCAGAGGCTCTCAGAGCAAGCTCCTGGTCAAAAGAAACTTAGTACAATGCCAAGTTTTTAAATACATTATAGCTATTCTCAATTCGCTTCTGACAAGATAAATAAATACACACACCCACACAAGCTTTGGATAGAATAGGGGAGGGTTAGCACCCTTATGACGTCTGTTTTGCTGTCTGTGCCACTAAGCAGAAGATTTCACCTCACTTTCCATCCCTGTGATAACTGGATTTTGAAAAAAAGGCTTGTTGTGGAAACGAGTATTGTAAATATATTTATGTATGTATTTGTATGTATGTATGTATGTGTGTGTGTCATATATATATATATATATATATATATATATATATATAATGAAATAGTTGGAGTTACACTTAAAAATATACCTGATCCAACTTACATACAAACCCAACTCATGAACAAATCTACAGGACCTAACTTGGGGACTGTCTGTAAACAGAACAAAGACCGACAAGGAATACTAATAAAATGTAGGTTAACGTTCACAGAGTAATAATCAAGTCTGTTTGAAGGTTCTGGCCCCCAATTTCTGGAAATACCAGAAGCATGCAGTGTTGGCATCATATCATGGCAGAACGAGGTTGGACTAGATACCCCTTGTGGGGTATCAAGTCCAACCCTTAATGACTCTATATATTGAACGATACAGAATGGCCGACACCTGGCTTGTGAGCAGTACGTGTTAAAAAGATCTTGGGAGTCCTTGTGGACAACAAGTTAAACATGAGCCAATAATGTGATGCGGTGGCAAAAAATGCCAACAGGATTTTGGCCTGCATCAATAGGAGTATAGATCCAGGGAAGTCATGCTACCCCTCTATTTTGCCTTGGTTAGACCACACCTGGAATATTGTCCAATTCTGGGCACCGCAATTGAAGGGACATGTTGACAAACTGGAATGTGTCCAGAAGAGGGCAACTAAAATGATCAAGTGTCTGGAAAACAAGCCCTATGAGGAGCGGCTTAAAGACCTGAGCATGTTTAGCCTGAAGAGAAGGCTGACAGGAGACATGATAGCCATGTATAAATACGTAAGAGGAAGTAATAGGGAGGAGGGAGCAAGCTTGTTTTCTGCTGCCCTGGAGGCTAGGACACAATGGAACAATGGCTTCAAACTACAAGAAAGGGTTAGGGTTAGAGTTCCATCTGAACATTAGGAAGAACTTCCTGACTTTGGGAGCTGTTCAGCAGTGGAACTCTCTGTCCCGGAGTGTGGTGAAGGCTTCTTCTTTAGAGCTTTTTAAACAGATGCTCGATGGCCATGTCGGGAGTGCTTTGAATGCGATTTTCCTGCTTCTTGGCAGGGGGTTGGACTGGATGGCCCATGAGGTCTCTTCCAACTCTTTGATTCTATGACATCTCCAAATCTTTCTGTTTCTACAAATGGAGTCTGAGATGTGAATATTTGGACTAGATGGCCTATAAGGTCCTTTCCAACTCTATGATTCTATATCAGGCCTGGGCCAACTTGGGCCTTCCCTCCAGGTGTTTTGGAAATCCACCATTCCTAACAGCCTTAGACCCTTTCCTTTCCCCCCTCAGCCGCCTAAGCTGTTAGGAATGGTGGGAGCTGATGTCCAAAACACCTGGAGGGAGGGCCCAAGTTGGCCCAGGCCTGCTCTATATAGTTGTAGTGAGAACTCATTGTAAGGCTGTATTTTGGAACAGCCATATTTGGGGTTCTTGCAATCTAAATTAGGTAACTATAGAGGTGGAGGGATATATAACATGACAGGGGGAAATGTGCAGCAACCCAAACTAACTAACTTCTCCTTGGTGCTTGTCAAGAAGTGAAAAGCACGTTGAGGAAAGGGAGAAAGGGCAGGGCCTCAGGCGGGCAAGGCCTCCCAAAGCGCGGTTGCCACGGTAACCCACCCCGCTCCCCTCCCCTGTCTTCTCCCCCAGGCCTACAAACCGCCAGGCGCCAAAAGCTTTGCGGCCTCCTTCCTCTCTCTTCCTCCACAGACACCACCGTGACGACGCCCTCGCCTCCTTCCACGTGTTTTTATACCCCAGGAGGAGGAGCCTCCTTTGCCTTTCCTCCTCACCCTTTTGGCCCAGGTTTTCTTGCTTTTTTTGCACCAAGAGTATATTTCTGAGCCTTTTTGAGGAAAGGAGGGATTAGAGCTGCATCTCTGCACCGTGGAATTAATGCAAGGCTCAGTGCTATGGAGCCATGGGATTAGTAGTATTGTAGTTGAGGCGACAGCCCTCTGGGGCAGAGAAGGCTTTCACAGAATCAAAGGGTTGGAATAGACCTCGTGGGCCATCCAGTCCAACCCTCTGCCAAGAAGCAGGAAAATTGCATTCAAAGCATCCCTGACAGATAGCCATCCAGCCTCTGTTTAAAAGCTTCCAAAGAAGGAGCCTCCACCACACTCTGGGGCAGAGAGTTCCGCTGCTGAACAGCTCTCATAGGAAGTTCTTATGTTCAGATGGAATCTCCTTTGTGGAGCTACAACTCCACCACTTCACAGCATTCAGCCCTGGCAGTCCAAGTGGATTCATTCTGTTGTCAGCCTTCCATACCCAAGGATTCTGATTCTAGGGATTCACTTCCACATCTCTGAATATAATTTTTCAAATGTTCAAATTGACCTTGGATGCTGGGAGTTATAGTTCACCTGCATTCTGAGAGTAACACGTACCCAGCCGTGATGGATCTGGACTGAATTTGGCACACAGACCCAGCATGGCCAACTTTGAATACTGGTGGGTTTTTGTTTTTTATTTGGAGGGAAGGGATTCACCCATGATGTTGGGAGGTGTAGTTCACCCATAATCAAAGAGCACTGTGAACCCGACCAATGATGGATCTGACCCAAATTTGGCACACACGCACACAGCATGGCCAACTTTGAATAGTGGTTAGGTTTAAGGGAAATTGACCCATGCTATTGGGAGTTGTAGTTCATCCATAATCAAAGAGCACTGTGAACCCCAACAATGATGGACCTGGATCAAACTTGGCACACCCAGCATGGCCAATTTTGAATACTGGGGAGAATTGACCCTTAATGTTGGACGTTGTAGTTCACCCATCATCAAAGAGCACTGTGAACCCCAATAATTATGGATCTGGCCCAAACTTGGCACACACACCCAACATGGCCAACTTTGAATACTGGTGGGGTTTGGGGGGAATTGACGCTTAATGTTGGGTGTCATTTTATTTGAAGCAGGTAGGAATGACCCATGATGTTGAGAGTTGTAGTTCACACATATCCTTATGCGTTTTCTAATCAGCACATTCATACAAAAACCAATTATTATTTCTTGCAAATAGCATTACAGAAGACCTAACCCGGGAATCACTCGGTACTAAGAACAACAACAAAACTTTATATACCATCCTATCTCCCCAACTGGACCAGAATATGTGGAAAGAGAGCTTCTGCTCAATTCCCATTGTTGTATTTTTTGTACTGGATCATGTTTGAATTTGCTAGTTAAAGCACATGTATATATGCTATATATATGCCATTCTATATAATGGGCCTTGAGCATCCATGGATTTTGAGGGGTCCAGAAATCAAACCCAAGTAGAAACTAAGAGCCCAATGTATTTGAGACTCCTCCTCATATCTTTATAACGTAAATGCCCTGATTCTGAATCATTTTCACTTATCCCAAAACCTCATCAGTTATCCTGATGTTTATTAAGTTTTTTCCTCCTCCTTGTTTAATTTTTTTGAAAAATCATGCTAAAGAAAGTGTGGTCAATGCTCATTCTGAGAGCATTCTAAGGGTTTTCTTATCAAGATTTGTTCAGAGGGGGTTGAGCTTTGCCTTTTTCTGAACTAATGCAGGCAGCTTGACACCATATTAACTGTCTTGGATCAGTGCTATGCAATCATGAGAGTTGTGGTTTTACCAGGGCTTTAGCTGTCTCTGCCAAAGAAGGTTCGTTGCCTCACCAAACTTCAACTCCCGGGATCCCATAGCATTGAGCCATGGTAGTTCAAGTAGTGTCAAACTCTGTTAATTCTACAGTGTAGATGCAAAGAGTAACTTGTATTGTCGAAGGCTTTCATGGCCGGAATCACTGGGTTGCTGTGTGTTTTCCGGGCTATATGGCTATGTTCCAGAAGCATTCTCTCCTGACATTTCACGCACACACACACACACACACATATATATCTGTAGAATGTCCAGGGTGGGAGAAAGAACTCTTGTCTGCTTGAGGCAAGTGTGAATGTTGTGACCTTGATTAGCATTTAATGGCCTTGCGGTTTCAAAGGCTGCTTCCTGCCTGGGGGAATCCTTTGTTGGGAAGTGTTAGCTGGCCCTGATTGTTTAATGTCAGAAATTCACCTGGGGTTTTTTTGTGTGCTTTTTCAATGTGTGTATCATTCCACAGATAAATAAACCTCACTTACCTAGTTCCCAACAGATCTCACAACCTCTGAGGATGCTTACCACAGATGTGGCCAAAATGTCAGAAGCAACCCAAAGAGTAACTTGTTTGTTAAAACATATTAATCCTTTCAGTGGTAGAGAAACAAGAGCTCTTTAGATCCAGATCATGATAGCAAACATTAAGGGACAGTGGCTTAGGCCCATCTTGCTTGTAAGTAACTCGTGAAATTAATCTAATCTTCTCTTGCAGACTGAAATATCTTACCATGGGCCTTCTATACCAGAAGCATTGTACTTCTATGGATCCAAAGAGTTGTTATGCGTGCATTTGGACTGAATGCAAAGGCGCAGGTCTTGCGCCTTTGCTTTAAATTCTCTGCCGCAGATATGTGAAATTGTTGAACCGCTATCCTGTTAGTTAACTGTATGGCCATTCTCTGTTCATTTTGTAAAGCATGCTGGGCACCTATTTGTATCAAGCATGTGAAAAATGCCTGAGCCATTTTCAATTTTTAAAGCCGTAATAATCACAGTAAAATGGCTGGCGTTGGTGTTCAGTGACCCGTAAATATCATTAACCCAGTTCTGGAAAAGATAGAATTTTCAATCAAAAGAAATAATAGAGCCATCCAAGAAAATAGTCGCAAGTCAGTCTTCATTTATTATTTTATTTTGCTGTATGGAGGAGGCTGTTGCTATCCAAACAATCTATTCTGCTTGATCCTTTAAAAACCAGGCAATTGTAGGCAAAACACAGTGTACACCATCCTATTTCCATTGTCTTCTCTCTCTCTCTCTCTGGAGTGTTTTGCCATTTGCTTCTTCACAATGAAATAGTGATATTCAGTCCTTTAATCTTAAGCTTATTTCTTAAGGCTTTCACTTTTTAAAGCCCGTGGCATAAGAAACAAGATCGTAAATGTTCTGTATTGCACAAGTGCAAGATAGTGAGAGATCTGTCTTGAGGAGGTGTTATATTCAGCCTTCCTCAGGACTAAAAATTAGAGCCCAGTTTCAGAAAGAAGTGGATTCAGGTGGGAAACAGGGAATGTTTTGAACCTCATCTGAAATCAGTTGCAGGAGTGCACCATTACTTTTCTGTATTCATAGAATGATGCAAACTTTTTGGTGGGCATAAGTCATCTAACATCAAACAATGCCTTTCAGTTGAATAAATTCAATAATGAGTTATCAAATGATGCAGAAAAATGCTTCTCAAGTTATCTGATGGCCGAAGGGGCTTGTAATTGTCTCCCTGGTATGGTTCCATATTTTTGTCCATTGACAACTGTTTTGACTATTCTTTCTGGAAAATCTTCTGGGACTGGCAGCCAATGGCTGAGGATATTTTGTTATCAAATAGTACTTTAAGTAAAACTGATGTGGAATATACTTGTGCTAATATTCTAAGCATCTATTACTTTTCTTGGTTTTGGTTTAGGTGCTTTAGGCATTTTCATTGTAAAAGCAAAATTCAAATATTCTAAATAATAAATAGCAGAGCTATGCATTTAGCTCTTGTTTAAGGATTTTGTGGGAGAACAGTCAAGAAATTAATTATGCATTGGCCTATATCAGGGAGACATGATTGCTGCGAGGTAGTACATACATAATTTCTATATGAAAGGATTAACTTGAAACTAAATGCCATGTGTACATCTGTCTTATATTCCTCCTCCCGAGAACAGTAAGTGGAATAATAATAATAATAATAATAATAATAATAATTCGCTTGGAAAATATTCAACTTGCGATTTTGTGATACGAAATCCAGCATATAGATCTTGTTTCCTATGACATACTGTGTTTTTGTGTCAGTATAATAATAATGATGATGATAATTATCATCATTTGTTACAATTTCTCCTAATAAATGGCATTCTGTAATAAAATAAACAAGGATTTTTTCATTGTCAGTTGAGCCAGAGACATTTTCAACACCAATGATTCTCAACCTTTGGTCCTCGGATGTTTTGGATTTCATCCTCCATAGGTAACAGCTAGTATGGCCAATGTACAAAAATTCTGAGAGTTGTAGTCCAAAGCAGGTAGGGCAGTGGTTCTCAACCTGTGGGTCCCCAGATGTTTTGGCCTTCAATTCCCAGAGATCCTAACAGCTGGTAAATTGGCTGGGATTTCTGAGAGTTGTAGGCCAAAACACCTGGGGACCCATAGGTTGAGAACCACTGAACTAGGAGCCCTTCTACATAGCCATATAACCCAGAATATCAAAGCAGATAATCCACAATATCTGCCTTGAACTAGGTTATCTGAGTCCACACTGCAATATAATCCAGTTCACTGTGGATTTTATACAGCTGTGTAGAAGGGACTTCAATAACCAAAGATTGAAAAACAATGGTCTACATATTCAGCAGAATTAAATAGTTCTATTCTGTACTGACAGTGTGAGCTGTGCTTTTCTCATTACATTTCCCAGTGCTTCTCCATATTAAAACAGGGGAGTTGTGTTCTACTTTCTCCAAAGCTAGTGTTCAGTTTGCAAGTCAATGGATTTTGGTTTTTTATATGATGGAGAGCAATTCAAATCTATCTTTCCCCACCTGTTTCTGCAGCCTTTAATCTGATGCACTTCAAGACCTGAGTTATATAAAATAATTTACAAGAAATTATGCTCAGT